AGGGCCAAGAGGCGACTTCATCATGCCCCTATCGGCAGCTAGCCGATCCACTTTAGAGGACAGCGTGTTTCTAGTCCTTCTATTGGGGGGAGCACACATAGCGGTGTCTGTTGGCTGCTGCCAGACGTTCCACCTCAGTGATTCTAGCCACTTTGAGCGCCCGAGGCATGCAGCTACAGCTCATGCAGGCGTTTACCGTGAGAACCTCCCTCAGATGCTCGAATTTCGTCCCCACTGACCACCAGAGGCGGTCGTGGCCGTCCTCGGGCTCAAGAGAAGCCATACAGGCGCTACATGAATGAGCCATTCTGTAGGTAGCAAGATGAAGCGTAGCCGGGAGCGGGTGAGAGACCACAGCCTTCACCAGCTACCTGCTTAATGGAAAGAGTAGAGCGTTGCTGCTACTCGCCGAACAGAAAGAGGGATGTAATTACACCCACGTTACCGGCAGAGGGAGCGGGAGCGAGAGCACTGCCTTCACCTGGCTAGATTAATAAACACGGCAGTTCAGCATTTACCAGGAGCGGGGGCGAGAACACTGCCGGCTGAGTTAGAGACGAATGCCAGATGCAGCGTAACCGGGGTGCGGGAACACAGCCTTCACCAGCTACCTGCTTAACGGAAAGACAAGGCAGTTCAGTGCCTACCAGGAGCGGGGGCGAGAACACTGCCTTCACTGGTTGAGTTAGAGACGAATGCCAGATGCAGCGTAACCGGGAGCGGGTGTGGGAACACAGCCTTCACCAGCTACCTGCTTAACGGAGAAACAAGGCAGTTCCGCGTCTACCAGGAGCGGGGGCGAGAACACTGCCTTCACTGGTTGAGTTAGAGACGAATGCCAGATGCAGCGTAACCGGGAGCGGGTGCGGGAACACAGCCTTCACCAGCTACCTGCTTAACAGAAAAACAAGGCAGTTCAGCGTCTACCAGGAGCGGGGGCGAAAACACTACCTTCACTGGTTGAGTTAGAGACGAATGCCAGATGCAGCGTAACCAGGAGCGGGAACACAGCCTTCACCGGCTACCTGCTTAACGGAAAAACGAGGCAGTTTGGCGTCTACCAGGAGCGGGTGTGAGAACTGCCTTCACTGGTTGAGTTAGAGACGAACGCCAGATGCAGCGTAACCGGGAGCGGGTGCGGGAACACAGCCTTCACCGGCTACCTGCTTAACGGAAAAGCGAGGCAGTTCAGCGTCTACCAGGAGCGGGGGCGAGAACACTGCCTTCACTGGTTGAGTTAGAGACGAATGCCAGATGCAGCGTAACCGGGAGCGGGTGCGGGAGCACAGCCTTCACCAGCTAGCTGCTGAACGGGAAGAGTAGAGCGGTGCTACTACTCGCCGAACAGAAAAAGGGATGTAGCTACATCCGCATTACCGGCAGAGGGAGCGGGAGCGAGAGCACTGCCTTCACCTAGCTGGGTAAAATAAAGAAGCTTAACAGTACACGCAATAGGGGTTTCACAACTACCAATATTTACTAGTCGACACGTTTTTCAAAATAGCAGTCGACTAGTCGACTAGTCGTTACGTCATAATAAAGACACACAAAGAGAGGTGTACAACTGTATTTTATATCGGAACTCATACAGTTACATTAAACACTGCATTTTAATTTGTGTTACATGGCTGAGTAAATAACAAACAGTAACTGGACTTAGTAAATAACAAACAGTAACTGGACTTAGTAAATAACAAACAGTAACTGGACTCACCAAAATCGACAGCAAAAAACTCTGTTTACTGAAATGCCACGTAAATCCAGTGCGCAACAGCGCATTGCGCAACACTTTACTCGCTGTCCTCCACGATAACGTCCACCTTTCCAGATTTTTGGTCGACATGTGAGGGAAGGAGGCTTGACCGCTTTCGGGTGACAGTGTTGCCTGCCAGGGAAAAAACCCTCTCACTCGGGGTGCCTGTGGCTGGAATAGCTCCTCGAAAGCTTGGCTAAACGGGGGATGCGGTGCACGTTTTCTGCCCACCACTCCAGTGGGTTATCCATTGTGGGGATATGCGGTGTCCGCTGGCAGTAAACCCGTAGCTCATCATCCGCATCACTGTAGACCCGTTTTTTTGCTGCTCGTCTGCCTCTGTCCTGTGCTGACGCCGGTCCGTTGCTCACTGGTGCTAGCATTACTGCTAGTGCTAGCTGTCGGCAGCGGGTGTTTCATCTTCATATGGTTGCGCATAGCAGATGTATTTTTGTTGTACTTCAGTACAGCTGTACACAACTGACACTTCAGTTGTGTACAGCTAAAGTTAAATAATGAAGCTTAACAGTACATGCAAGGTGTTAGCCAAGCAGCTGCTGCTAACAACCAAGCAACCAAGTCAGAACACAATGTTAAGACCAGATAATTAGCTTCTAATAAAGAGAACAGACCGTATAGAACCGTAGGCCATGGTTACAGTAGTAACCGCACATGCGGAGCACACAGCACCCGCAGTGAAGATGTTCTCTACGTATCATCCTAGTGCTATAGTACTAGGAGCAGTAATACAACGATCTAGCACTACTGCAATCAAACCCTATGTTACCGGGAGCGGGAGCACTGCCCTCACCGGCTGAGTTAATAATTAAGCTTAACAGCAAGGTGTTAGCCAAGCGGCTGCTGCTAACAATCAAGCGACCAAGTCAGAACACAAATGTTAAGACCAGATAATAGCTTCTAAGAAATAGAAAGTACTTACCTTACTCTCTGCATCTAAACGAAAAACGGGTTTAAAATATGACACTCTGGGCTTTCCATACTAAATTGAATGAGGGACACAGCCAAAGCTGGGACTCAAATGCTAATGATAGCTCGGGCACAGCGCCACAAGCAGAACTTTCAAAAGAGCATAAGGGCAACTTTATGGGAGAGGAAGCGGGAACACTGTGGTCACCAGAAAGTCTAAGCCAAACAAAAAATAAGACGGCAATCAGGACAACTTGGCTGGGAGAGGGTGCGGGGACACAGCCATCACCAGCAACAAGCTGACACAAACCTGTCTGTCGAGGCTCTGCACAGCGCACAGCCGGCCACAGCTCCTGGAGGACGCCTTAACGACCCGTAGCTCCGACTGTCAGTCGCGAAGCTGCACGCTGCCAGCTGCTTGCAGAGCAATCCCTCAGATCAAACGTTCAAACCTGAACGCTGTAGGCTACAAAAATGTAGCCACGGTACTCTCGCGCAGCGAGAAGATGAAAGGAACAGATCCTCTGACGACACCGGCTGATATAGCCGGTCTCACGTGGGTCACAGGTGACTTTGTTGTTATTGGTACTCGAGCTGCGCATGCGCGCGATGGACATATCCAGTGCTTAAAGCACCGCCTCTGGCGGTCAGTAGGGACGAAATAGAACCAAGGTAATGCTCTTTTCTAAAGCTAAAGCTAAAAATACACCAGAGACTGCTTTGGATATTGTAACTACGCAAGGAATACAACTTGAAGTGGTTACCTGTTACAAATACTTGGGTATCTGGCTTGATGACTGTCTCACTTTTAAATTTCATGTAAATAACCTGCTTAAAAAGCTGAGGGTTAGGCTAGGTTTCTTTTACAGAAATAAGTCCTGTTTCTCGCTTGAGGCCAGGAAAAGGCTAGTCACTGTGACCTTTTTACCTGTGCTGGATTATGGTGATTTGTTATATATGAATGCACCTGCCAATTACCTGAGCAAGTTAGATGCTGCGTATCACAGTGCACTGAGATTTTTGACAAATTGTAAAGCACTTACGCATCACTGTACACTGTATACCAAGGCGGTTTTGCCATCACTTACTGTACGGAGGCTCAGTCACTGGTACTTTTTCATTTACAAAGCCATGTTGGATAAACTACGATCTTATATCTGCTCCCTGATCTCTCTGCGAATTGAAAGTACTTATTGCCTGAGATCGCATCCTGTGGTTTTATTAAATGTGCCAAGTGCTAGGACTGTCTTAGGGAAGAAAGCTTTTAGATGTGCAGCTCCACTAACATGGAACAGTCTGCAAAAAGAATGGAAAATTACCACTACATATTTTTAAAGCTCAGTTGGATGCTACAAAATCAGATGCTGTTGGTACCTGTACATGTGGTTAGATATGTAAATTGTAATCCCTGTACATTTTGCTGTATGATGTCCTTTTGTTGTTCTGTTGTTTATGTTTTTATGTCTTCTTGTGGAACCTACTGCTGCAGGTCTCCCTTGAAAAAGAGATCATTGATCTCAATGGGATTTTACCTGGATAAGGTTTTGAATTGAATTGACATCACTGGTATTTTATGTAGGGTCCTGACATTAAACCTGATAACATACACTTATACACTACCTATGAAAATTGATAAATAACACACAAAAGACAAATACACTTCTTTTAGAGATTTTGTATTCTGTAAATCTTCGGACAGAATATATACAAACAAGACATTTTACAAAAATACATTTCATAAATAAAAAGATTGACATTGAATTGTTTAGACATGTATTTGTGTACAATGATTATAAAGCTCTGCATTGGTTTAGGGTTGTTTTTTTCTGTTCTTGGAGAGGGATCCCTCCATACTGTAGCCTTTTCCTGAGGTTTCTTCTATTTGTCCTTCGTTTGTTGAGTTTGGGTTAGTTTTTTTTAGGGTTATACGAACAGAGGGTTTCATATAGGCTGCATAGATTGTAAAGCCCCCTGAAGCTGATTTGTGATATTAGGCTGTATTTGTACATTATTATACATAATTTATACTTTAAATGGATGATGTGTTTTTTCATTTTAATCTATGACATTTTTTCTAAACTTAAACAAGATAGCATTAGTTACTGTCACAAAATTAAATATTCTTATAGCAAATTGATCAGTGAAGATTAATTTGTACATTATTAGTGCAATTATTTTTACATTCATGGGATAATGTTACATGTCTGCCTATTGGTCTAATGATGATTGAATGGACGCGTTACTCAAAGTCACATTTTAAATCAAGTTCATCTGAAGCTGAACAAGACTGAAGAAATCATGAATCCTTTTTAACCAACAGAGTATTTCACCATGAATCATTTTTCATTCCAGTGATGGAAGTCATTTAGTGATTAAAATTAAAATTGTAACAACAGCCCTAAAGCTATTGCTGGTTTGATAGTATCCATGACAACAGACAGAGGCAGGATGCGGTGACAAGGCTGATCTCCTGTCTTACTCCACTGGAAGCTGTAAATGAGAACAAAAAGAAACAAAACATTAAATCAACAAAAAGTAGAATTTTATTTTTATTTTATTAAGTAGCACTCAGTATTTACTTACATATGCCATTTACGCCAATGGAGCTGCCTTCAATGTCGAATCCAACGACTGTTGAAGCTGCGTTGATCAAAGCGTTCGCAATCTGAGTGCTATTAGGAGCAGATGTGCTTCCAAATGAAACATCAATGACATTGATGATTGATCCGTTACTGCAGAAAGAGAAACACAATATTGTTTGAAATATCAGACACAGGATCCTACTCTTTATTATAAAACTTTAATAGTTTAAAAAAATTACCTGAATGAAACAACATCTAGTGATTTGAACGACAAAGGGAATATCTTTTGGAAAACAGGTGTAAGCTGTAGAAACACAAAACAAAATTGCATTGGAATTTAGAGCTTTACTCATTTATTTGACTTGATCTTTATTGGTCTTTCATCAATGAATAATTAATAATCATTGTGTGGTAACTGTGGAGTAGGCTTCTCATATTTTGAGAGGGCGCTTTAGCTCTCTGATTCAATATTGCCGTAGATGTCCCAGCAGATTTTATTAATAGGGGTAAACTTACCTGAGTATTTATCATTGTAGCTCGACCTTTATAAGCAGCAGAAGATGGATTCAGCAAGTCATTGGTAAATGTATCTAGGACAGATCTGAAAGTCACCCTTTTTGTTATAAGGGCTATAGTAGTAGGTGCTGCAGTTGCAGGTCGTGCAGTTATAGGTGCTGCCGTTTTAGGTTTAGCAGTTGTAGGTGCTGTAGTTGTAGTTGGGACTGGACCTGCTGTAAAAACAGACATATAAACATTATGTTAATATGTATCAATGCCCAAACCATGACGATTTATGTTTGTTTTTTTTAGGTAAAACCCTGGTGCCAGTTTTACAGAAATAAGATCAATGATGAAGGGATGACAACATTATATTTGTTCTGAAGTTTCATAGGAAAAAGTATTCTTGCAACAAATAACAATTTATTTACAAGATGTGACATTAAACAATACACAACTCCAAACTGAAAAGCATAGTGTTCATTAATTTTGTCTTTACCTATATTTTGTCCTTGGCTACGTACTTTTGTTAGTAAACTATTTATAAACCAAGCATGCACAGCAAATGTTATTCAAAATGGTTTAGAAACGTATTGGAGAGAAACATTGTGTTGTGTTTACTTACATTCAACTTTGACTGAATCAGGACTTATGCTCACGTCGAAGGTACTGTTGGTATTATTCACAGCTTCTACTAAGGTTTGACCCACTTCATTATTCTGTGGGAGATCTGCAAGAGGAGTAGTGCTGTTGAACACAACTCCCATTTCTGCTTCAGTTCCGGTCTCCCTTACTGCTAAAGCTCTGTTTTATAACATCAAACGAAAAAAGAGAACAATTATGATATGAAAGACTCCAGCCTTGTGTCGTCTGATTTACATGTGTCACTATCAACACTAAATAATTTGTCTTTGTGAGACCCAAATCCGGAAACCTTTTTTACCTGAGCTTTTTCAACTTGCATTGGGAAAATCTGTTTCCATATTTGGCTTTGTATATCTTAGAACACTGCAAAAAAAGCAACATTGAAAGAATTTTAGTCACTTTTGTCACAATATACTTAAAATACAAATTCAGAGATACTCAAATCGAGGTGATATAACAAAAAAACATTCACCGTTGATAGAAGTCGTGTTTCTAACTCTTTGTATTCTGGGCTTGTGTTGTCATTATAAGCATCAATAAATGGTTCACCCTCCATGGCTGCTGTGATGACGTACGTTGGAGCAGAAGCAGTCGTAGGTGAAGCAGTAGTAGGTGCTGCAGTTGCGGGTGAAGCAGTTGTAGGTACAGCAGTTGTAAGTGTTGCAGTTGTAGGTGAAGCAGTTGGAGGTGCAGCAGTTGTGGGTGCAGCAGTCGTAGGTGCTGCAGTTGTAGGTACAGCAGTAGTTGTAGGTTGG